TACAATCGTTTCTTCATTAGTACCCGTGTGCAGAACATAATGTTTCCATGCCTTGTGGGGAGGTGGTGCATGTACAAACACACCTCAACGTGTTATTTCAACCAGCTTTCATTTCCTTTCCCCCTTCTCTCTCCTAGACATTGCTGCCATAAGAAGTGCAGTCAAACATCACCGAGCTTTCATCGCACCTGGAAAGAGTGGCCATCATCAAATACTAACCACTGCTGCAAGGCTGAGGGGAAAGATGCACATATCTACATTCGTGGTGGGAACATAAAGCAGCCCAGTCAATGTAGAAATCAGTATGGTGGTGATCCCTCCAAAAACTGAAACTAGAAATTCCATTAGACTCAGTCATTTCCTTCTAGTATCTTTCTGAATGAGTTAAAGCCATTGTATTACAGTGATTTCTGCACACCCATGTTTATAGCAACACAAGTCACAATAGCTACATCTGGGCAGCGTCTATGTCCATCGTTAAGTGAGTGGGTATTGCTCTGCCATTAGGAAAGATCATCTTGAGCCGTTTCTGAGAAACTGGATCCACCTTGAGACCATAATGTTAAGTGAAATAAATCAGACATATAATATTGCACAGTTGATATTGCCTGGTTCCTTTCATATGAGAACCACCAAATATAAATAAACAGCAAAATAAAAATTAAGTAATAGAAAGCAAGGGGATAGATCCTTCTCAGAGGGGTAAAGGATCACGAGATAGAGAGAGAGAAGGGATGACAGGAAAGAGTCTGAAAAGCAATGAAGATGTATTAGGTGTATGTGCCAACTCCATGTAAGGTATGTAAACACTGTGTCCTGCAACACATACACAACAAATCTCCCTGTCTGAGCAGCCCAATTAGCAGCTCCTCTGTTTTGTGGTGAGAGTGAAGAGGCAGTGGGCAGAGGTGTGAAAGGTGAATACATCACTACAGCTTCCCCCGCGTTACTCATTAGTAGACAGTAGTTCATGCCATATGAAAGCATCGCTCCTAACTATATCTTCAGACTTACAGTAACACAAGGTCACAGAAGAATCATGCTTAAATCTTGTTGAGTAAATATATACATACCTGCCAATGCAGAAGCTTCACTCCCCAGAACATTACCTGTGAGCACTTTTGAAATAAATTAAGTCAGATCAGCCCCGTAGTGATATCACTGTAGCTGCTCATTAAAATGTCTCCTCAATTTTTCCTGCTTCCCAGCTGGGAAGAAATTTCCTTCTGTGTCTACTTATATGGCAAATTCATCAGAATTTCCTTGTAGTTGTGGTGGAGCGAGGGAGGAAGAAAGGCTTTCTCCTGTAGGATTTTCCTCTGTGGCTAAGGAAACTCTCCTTTCCACTAGGGCCCAAATACGCATAGATCCTCAGCTAGGCACAAGTGGGGGCATCAGCTGCCTCTTGGTGCTCAGTACCGCTTGGCTGCATTCCCAGAGTTTCACTGGGTAACGCTTTCTACCTGCCTGCTGCTTTTCTTTGTGGAGAGAAGAATCTGCAAAACAGTTCACCTGCTTTTTCTGGAAACAGATTTCTGCTGCATCACTACTAGTCAACAATGATCGAAGTTCGAGTCCGTTCCCTCCCTGAGTCTTTGTAACCCCACTACAAAATAATCTTTGTAGTAACATCTCCCGTCTGTTTGGGTATCTGGTGCGCTCAGGTTCCAAATCTGAAATGACTCCCTGAGCCCCGCAGGTGACTCCCGTGCATTCTCCTGGGACCTGTCACTCTAACATCCAGCACCTCACTTTGACCTGCTGGTTTATCAGGGTCCCCCTTGCTCACCCAGTTCAGCAAGGTGGTCTTCGCTTGGTGCCTCAACTGCTCCATCTCTAGCTATTTTTGCAGCTTGGAAATTCTTTTTATGTTCCTAAAACTTTGCCACTGGCTTATCTTGTATCTAGGCTAAAATAATGGGGCTAAATTAGCTGGAAACTGTTGGTTTTTTAGTTATAAAATTTTGAGAACTAGATACTTTTCAGCTATACCAATGCATAATAAAACATATTTTCCTTCCTATAAGGATAAAAGCATTTGGAGTCTTTCAAATTGAGTATTAAACATTTGACTGAGAGTATGTGCCTTGACACTTTTATAACATTGCATGCATCTTGTTTTCAGTGTTAAGAATCTGAGTTTCAGCCCTGGGTTGTGCTTGGTATATGGGGTTGGGAGCATCTTTTTTAAAAAATTTTATTTAAAGAAAGAAAAAAACAAAACAGTAAAAGGGTACAAGTAACAAAGAATTTCAAAATCAAATAAACAGTAAGAAATCACTAGTTAATAGATTACGTATTGTCATCTTAGAAATAGTTGTTCAAGTTATAAAGCTAAAGCATACAAAGTAGGCATTCAAACAGTGAGACTGCAAACAGTTGTGTTCAATGATCCAACAAAAACTTAGTAATATGGTCATCTGTCTTACACACCTAACATACTTGCAGCTGTATCCTTTAGAGCACTTTCTATTCCTCTCTTTTTTACAATACCAATTACACATTTTGGTCTTTATTACTCCCACAGTTCTTATTACTTTTTTTGGGGGGAAGAGAATAAAACCAAATGTGACAAAACAAAGCAGAATCAGTCAAAACAAAGGATGGACATAGTACATGATGTAAAAACAGAATACAAGGTAATCAACATAATGGTTACTGTAATGCCTCTTGCTACCTTAAAAAGAATTGCCTATATCATTAGGTATAATAAATTTGAACAAAATGGTACAGAAGAAGACCAATAAAACCTAAACATTGGAGACATTATAGGACTTCAAAAGAAGACAATAGTCAAACCAGAATGGGCATCATAGTGAATCTTACTGCCTTCAAAGTAGTTGCCTATACCCTCAAACTTAATACTATTGAACAAAACAGAATAGAGTAAAATCATCAAAACAAGATGGTGAGAGCAATATAGGGCTTCAAATCAAGTTAATAGGAAATCAAAAAAGTTACTATAAATATATCCTGCTAATTTGCACCTGGAAGCCGTGAAGTTCCCTGTCCGGGGCCCAGTGAGGGTCCCAAACCAGCTGGACTTGGGGAAAGTGTGGGGCACTCACCCCAGGCCACCCAGCCTCTCGCTGGCTCCCGCTTGCTTGCTTAGAACTACAGAGTCTGCCAAGCACAGCCAGGAGTGGGGAGGCCATTGCAGGCCTGCTCCTGGAGCATCTCATATTTGAATTTATAAGATATATTCCTATATACAGTTGAAAACATTGCTTCTAAAAATCCCACAATTGCAGTACAGGAAGAGTATCTGGCAGAAGTGCTACTACCATACGTGGGGGAAAAGCACTGTAGGCAGTGCTTGGAAGAATTAAGATGCATGCAGTCGCTCCTGTCTTTTTGCAAACATTTGCCTCCCTCTGGAGATGCAGCTCAGGGAGGGGTGGCCATCAGCACTTAAGGGACAGATGGCCACGCTAATAGATACCTTGGGGCTGGGCAAGATTTATGACACATGCAAGCCACACAGAAGAGCCTAGAAGAGCTCTATTTTGAGTCTGCAATGTAAAGTTAAAGTATGTAGTGAATCATAAGCTTTTGGATGGGTAATAAAGGCAGTTGAAATCATAGGCTTGGAATTAGCAAGAAGAGAGGGTAGCTAGACCTTTTTTTTTAAAAAAAGACCAATAAGAATTTAGTAGCGTAGCTGAGTCATTACTTTCTGGAACAATGAAAGTTTACAGTGTGGATTCCTAAATTTGTCCACACCAAATTTGAATTAAATGCTTCACTTAGTATAAAGATTATGAGGATGAATATAAACAATATAAATACCAGAATTAAAGAACTGGAAGATGTTAGAATGTCTGGTTCAATTTCCTCCAGCCATTGGGAATCTAAAATACCAAAGTCATTCTTCATGTGGAATTAGGTCTAAAACTTGAGTTTATTTCTCTGTTAAATCACATAATTTGTTCTGCAAATGGGGGAAAATGTCCAGAAAGATATGAAATTCTTGTATTATTATGTATTGATGTAGAAACAAAAGCTTGTTAAAACTTTGTGCCCAATTTTTGGGAGTTAGTGAATGTGATCTAATGACTGTTTGTTATATACATGAGAAATTAAAATGGCAGCCTGAAAATCTGCTTTTCCAAATGGTGTCACAGATGACATTAGAGTCATTGCATCATGACCCTGGGCCATGACAGTGGCTACACCACAAAATAGCCACCTCTTAGAGGAGAGGAGGCTGGAGCTGGAGGCTCCTGGCATCTGTGTACTTCTCACCCACCAAGAAATTAGGCTTCTATTCACCCACACTACCATCCATGGGTCTCCCATAACACAGTGTATGCATCTCCGCTATCAAGCTTGCAAAAATGTTGCTTTGTTCCCTTGTTCTGGTGGCCAGTGATGTCCAGCTTCCTCACCAAGCTACTGTTCTGAAGGGTTGAGGCTATGATGTTCATTTCTATGTCCTCATGGAAAATAACCTGGTACCCTACAGGCCGCGTTCATTTAGAACGGGTCTATGGAATTCAATGGAAACCAGGGATAAAATATGGCTAAACAATTCAACTTGTTAACAGTCATTAATTAACAGTTGATGCATGGGTATATATAGGTAGATATTTTAAAACCTGTTTCAGAAACTAGGTTTTAGGTTTTTTAAGGAAAGGATAGAATAGGAGATCTTTTGAAATGTTACTGTTTATAATCCAGCAGGACAGTTTTTAATACCACCACCTCTTTTTCTGCCTAGCGCTATGGGTTTGAAACAATGTCAGATTCTTACCACAGAGCTTTCTCATCTGTTTCAGACATATGGGAATTGACATAAAATGTAATCCTTGTGCTTTTATTTTTTAGTATTAACAAACATAAAGTATTACTTGAGCACAACTTAACATTTTACAACACTTTAAGGCTTTGAAACTAGAAATCACCTCCCTTGGGAAAAATGTGGTAATATTCTTAACGACTGCTTCCAAATCTCGAGCCCAGTGAGTTAGCAGATTCTAAACTTGGCAAACTAATGCCTCCCATTCCTAGTGGGAAGTATTTTGGTTTTAACTTCCTTTGGAAAATCTCCCAAGCTTGAGGGGGAAATAAACATACTCCAAGAATCAAAGCTCCTTTTAGAATTTCAATTTTAAATTTTTTTTTTCGGGAACTCTGGCGCTGGCCCTTTAAATTTTTTTTTCTTCTTAATCAACATTTCATCCCTCTCTTGTTGGCTGCCAAGACCAGCCTTGTCCTGGACTCCCAGGGATCTGAAAAGTTTTGGCAGGCTGAGGAGGAAAATGGGCGGAGACACTCACAAAGAGGGTAAGTGTGAAATGATATTTCCACTTCCCAATATTCTTGGCCAGATTTGCTTTCTGTGTGGGAGGAGAACACTCTGGAATCATTTCAAGTACTCCACAGAGATTCATAGAGCTGGGCTTGTTGGGTTGGACTCATTAAATCAACAGATATGTAGCTTGCATTGGGAGCTTCAGTCCATACAGAAATCTCAATTCTCATCTTACTCTTAAAACACTTAGATTTAGTTTAGAGACAGAATTCTTGCTATTATAATGGCACTGTAACAAATAAACATAACTCCACACAATCTGTGATCAGTTATAGAGATATGATTAAGACAATAGAGAACTTAGAGAATGTTGGGATCTTTATAAACTTCATGGTACCAGGAGGGTGGTGATATCTTTCTAGATTTCTCTGGTAGGAAATTGAAGTGTAAGAATGAATCACAGAAGATGGATATTTAACTGGACTGTGACTAATTAATAGTGCTATTATCGTATGTGTGTAAAGTGCGTTATTTGCCTTGTATATATTCCTTCTAGTCTGACACTGAGCATGCAAAGTGGGTCTTTTTGTTGGGTTGGAAACTTCCAAAGAGCAGGGATGGAACTCTGCTTTTGTTCCCTAGATTGCTTTTGTATCCTTAGGCTCAGTACAGTACATAGCAAGCAGAAAGCATCTAATGATGCTTTTATGTGTTGATTATAGATGAGAAAGCTGAGATTACAAAGTTCAGTAACGGGGCCAAGGTCTCAGCGCTAGTTAGGGGCAGAGCTGGTATTACAGCTCAGAATACGTGAGTGATTTGAAGCTTAAATCCTCCTGGGATGTGACACCCTGAAGAGGTGGATATGATTTAATAGGGAAATTTCAAGCCCAGGCCAGGAAGGGAATTAAAAGCGAGGCGGGTCAAGGAGGGATACCTCTTAGACCAATTTAGTCATGCTGTTAAAGAAAAGCTAGAAAAACAAGGTGTGAGGTCAGAATCTAAAATTCTCTATAGTTTATTCAAACTTTTATTTTACTCTCAGTTTATAGAAAATAAGATTTTTTTTAAATTAAGGGAAACGTGATAAAAGCAGTGTTTTAAGATAATCCATGCAGCAGTTTATGTATGATGGAGGTCTCTATGGAAATGGGTCCTTTATCACACTAGTGGAAATTGAAAAAATGGGGGTAGGCAAGAGATAATTTAAAGGAAAGAATAGACATTCCTGATAAGATTTGGACATTTAAAAGGGGAAATTTCAAGACAAGTGTATTGTTGAGTGCTTGTGTAGCTGGGTAAATGGGGAAAGGCAGAATATTAATTCTTCTAACAGAATTTGGTTTCAACCCGTTACTACTGGAATCATGAATCCTTTATCCGATGGCGAGGAAGTTAGGTGTTTATGATGGCTACTAAAATTAGCAGTCAGGAACAGAGATAAGCAAAGACACAGAGGACATTACTGAAATGCGGGAGTGGGTGAGCAAAAGCGAGGAGTGATGGAATTACTTAAAAAAGAAGCCGAGTTTCTTCTCGTTGGCAAACATTCATGCTGAATTATAACACCAAGATACAAGTTTTAAGTGAAGTTTTACAGTGACGCAGTTATGTATCCCAAACATTATAATCTAGGATAGTGGTGGTGAACCCATAGAATGTGTGTTACCTGTTTTCCTCTTCAGACAAAAGATGCTAATGTTTGAGTAATTTTTATGCTTAAAACTAAAACTGCGACATTCAAGTTTAATTGCAGGGTCAGCGTTTTGTTATAACTAAGTGGGTTAGTCCGCTCACCTCTAAAAGGTTTGCCATCACTGACCTAGAGTACTGCCACCATCCTAAAGGCCGTTGTAACAGTCTCCCATCAGGCTGACCACTTTTCTGATTTCTTCCATCAGAGATGTTTCTGAGATCTCATTTAATTGAAATCAGGCAGTGTGTATTTCTGTATGTGTGGCTTCTTTTGCCCAATATTATGCATATGAAATGTATCTTTTCCAATTTGACCCAGTGGTTATTTCGAATATATTACTTAATGTTAGCAAAATTGGAAGTTTTCTAATACCTTTTCTGTTACTGATTTTAACTTAATACCATTGAAGCCAGACAGTAGTTTTTTATTTTATTTTATTTTTTTATCGGTATCGGGGATTGAACTCACAACCGCCTGCTTGCAAGGCAGGTGCTCATGCCACTGAGCTAAATCCACAGCCCCCAGACAGTACTCTTGATATTATTTCAATCCTTTGAAATTCATTGAGTCTTGCTGTACGGCCTAGCATATTTTCCATTTTAGGAAATGTTCCATTACACTGGGGAAGAATATGTATCTTGAATTGGGAGCGCAGTGTTGTGTAAACACCATTAGGTCAAGTTCACACCTCACAGTCTTCAGAAAGACCACAGGCACCTTTGATGTTTACTCCAGTGTTCGTTCTCTCAGTTACTGGGGGAAGTAGCCCGCATTTTGTCTCTATTATCGTGAATCTCTTTAGTTCTGCGAATGTTGTCTTTTTTCTTCATGGAGGTCTAGGTTTCTTATCAGTCGGTCATGTAAGATTTTTTTCCATATGCAATGTGTCTATCTTTAGTACTATTTTATTAAAATTGACCTTTTCTAATACTATTATAGTCATAGAAATCCTTTTGGCTGGCATTTTTGTGATAAAGCTTTCCTTTACCCTTTGATGCCGTTTTCTGTCTTTATACAGAGAGGAATCTGCTGAGCCCTGAGTCACTCAGAGTCGCATTTGAGGAAAGTAAAATTTAAAGACGAGAAACAGAGGTGGGGAGATTAATACCCGGAAACAGGGAAGCAGGGAAACTAAGAAAGAATTTCAAGCACCCCAGTCTGGTGCAGTTATAGTGGAGGCTCCTTGTCAAGTGCTGCAGGGAAAGGAGCAAATAGAGATTCATGGACGATCACTGTGCTCAGAAGTTAGGTTTAAGCAGTACTTACGGTTTTTAAAGTTAGAGTAGATTACATAAATCAAGCATGGAGAAGTATTAGTGGCAAGGAAATGAAAGCAGTAGATATATTTATAAAATGTATTTGTGGAACACTTTGCTCTTATTTTGTTTTTAGCAAAATATCTCAAGCTTGTAAAAAACACTTTACAAATTAAAATTTTACCATGGCCACATCGTTTGGCTTTTCCAGTAAGTCTGGTTCATCTGCCTTTTAATGGGTTCTTTTCTCATTTTTTTCCTAAGCTATTACTCTCTATTTCTGTACAGCAAAGCCCCCCCAGCCTTATAGACCAAGAGAAAGCAGTGCTTTTATGCCTTGAGCAGGGCAAACAGTCCCCCACCACTGTTCTGTGACCCTCAGAGTCAGAGCTGGGAGCTGAGCTGCTGGGGTGACACCTTGACTCCTCCTCTCCCTGAAGATACAACTGTCTTCTGCTTTGCTCCACAACACAAATTAGTTAAATGAATTCTGATTCAGCCTTCCAAAGCAGTTGTTTTCACTTACAAAGTGAAAAGAACAGAATGAACAAGCTTATGGCTGACCTGGAAAGACCTCCAGACAGTGTGGCATTAAACATGCGAGGCGCAGGCTGGAGGGGACTGAGCAGCACCCTTGCCCTGCCAGCTGGTTGTGTGCCAAGCTTTCCAGAGGAGGTTGCTCTCCTCTTCTGTCTTGCCCTCTCCTGAGAAATATACTCTAAGTGATTCAAAGATCTCTGTACATTTCTGGTGAGGAGAAGTCACTGGACTCCAATCATGTCCTCCTGTTCCATCATGTCCACCATGTCCATTCTGTTCCTTCTTTAGATAGAAAAAAATGCCAACTTTTTCTTGTGGTTCATCCTTTTGCAGCGTGGCTACATTTGGCAATTATTCTCAAAGCCGTGCCATCTTGTGCCTACCTTAGTGTGGCTGAAGTGTGTTGGGTGCGTACAAAATCCAGAAAGGAAAATTGGATAGATTCTTTGAGAAAGTCAAATGAGTCAGTTTTGAAACAGAGGAGACTTTATCTCAAACAGAAAGCAAAGAGGACCTCCTCAGAGTAAACATTTAAAGTATATGGGGTGTGGGGGTGAGGAAGTGTGTGTATGCGTTTATCTAGTCCTTAACATGTGCCCAGGACCACTGGCCACTCTGGAGTGACACTGGCCACTCTGTGATTGATACAGGAGTCGCTGTCTAAGGAAGACGTGGACAGTGCAGCACAGCTTGCCTGCCCTAACTGTGAGGACAGGGTAAGGTGGTGCTCTGCGTGTGTCTGGCACTGCTGTGGCACCAGAGCCACAGATCTGGGAATTCTGCAGAATCTGTTGCTTGCTTGTTGCATTTACTGCTGGTACAAGTACGGATCACAACCTTTGTTTCCCTTGTTGAAGCCACCAAGCAGCAGGATCTCCCTCCCTCTCTCCCTCCCTCCCTCTCTCTGTCTCTCTGTCTCTCTCTCTCTCTCTCTCTCTCTGTCTCTGTCTCTGTCTCTGTCTGTCTCTGTCTCTCTCTCTCTGTCTCCCAATATTGTCTCCCTGGCATCTTCACAGCCCTTTCACCTGCCCATCTGACCCTGTCACTTCTAACATTCAATCACTTAATGTCCCATTACACTTTAATAAGTGTTTATGACTCCAAGTTTTGAGTTTCTAAGGACTGCGCATGCTGCCACCCAACAGCAGCTAAGATCCTCTCTTCCCTGACTTCCCAAAGCCTGTCAAGTTGTTGATCATGAATCTTCTTTGCGTCTCTTTGTTCTCTATGCTTGCTGCTTTTGACATTTCCTACCTGGACTATGACCACCATCCTCTTACCTCCTGTCTCCTGCCCGTTCTGTCTGCCCAGTGTGCCTGCTGGGATGCTCTTCTGAAACACCCTGAAGTGAGCTGCTCCCTTCCAAGAAAAATCCCAGCAACCACCACCAGCCTTCGTGGTCCCTGACAGCCTCTGGGGAGACCCACACTCCTAGGCTCCCTCCGCACCAGGCGCCCTGGCCTTGGCCTCTTTCTGGTCTTAGATTTTGCTACCTCCCTTAACTGCTTCCCCTGAACGACCTGTGAGCTTTGCAGGGCCCGCGCCTTGCCCACCTGTCTGCCCATGTCTCCCCAGCTCATTAGAATTTCCATCCTCTTTCTTGCCCCACAATTCTTTTGCTCACTACCTTCTAGTCATTTTAAAAACTTGTCTCACTTTTCCCCTAGAAAACGTTCTTTCTTTGTTTTGTTAAACTAATTTTAAACTGAAAACACCGAATTATACATATTAGTGGGGCATTGTGCGATGTTTTGATACACCGCGTAATCAGGGTAAACATATCCACCGTGTCAAACCGCCTACCATGGAAGCGGTCACAATCCTTTTTCTAGCTTTCTGAGATACACAGAACACAGCTGCTGCCTCTGCCACTCCGCCGTGCAGTAGTGGAGAAGAACTTAACTCTATTTGACTCAGTACCCATTGATCAAACCGTCAGCGTCCTCCCTCCCTGTCCCCCTCCAAGCCTGGTAATCACCCTCTCCACTCTGAATTTCTCTGAGATCAAGTCTCGGTGAGGGAGCTCACACCATACTCTGTTTAGAAACCGTTTCTGAACACTGTGACCTCCAACTGCATCCTCAGGTTGGATTTGATGCGTTTCTGTTTCCACAGCATTGATGATTAGCTCTGCTTTAACACTTAGTACACTGTGCTTTAACTGCCGGTTTCTGAAAAGGTGTCATCTCTCACGTTTGTACCTTCAGGGAGCAGTGATGTATCTGGCCACCCTAGAAAGGACGTCTTCCCATCAGAGAGAATCCATGAGTGGTAGATTCATGGAGTGGAAATCTTGTGCCTTGAGACATTTTTTTTTTTTGTATTATTTTTTGGGACTAAAAGTAGATGAAGATTGAGAAGTCAAATTGCATTGTCCCTTAAATACTGGGACAGATCATACATGAATTTTATACAGGGGTATACATCATTTAATTTTACTACAGTATTTTGATTCCAAAATAACCAGAGCTGGCACTAACAGGTAGATTTCATCTAAAAATAAGCTTAACTCTCTTCCTTTACAAAATAGCTTTTTTTGTTTAGAAAACCATCCTTGATTAGTCAGTGGATATTTTAAAACTCTGCTGCATGATTTGTAAGGCTCCGAGTCTCTGAGTCTCTGTACAGTGCATGATTAATGTAAACTTGGGAAACTTCTCTTGCTTTGTTTTTCTTACTGGTCCAAATTTAAGTTGCTTTTAGTCACAAGATTTCTGTAAATACAAACTTATGTCAAAGAGGCTTGTATTTACTTTTTGATTCAACTCAGCATGTTTATTTAATCTGCAGTGATTCAGCTTACTGGCGGCCTTAGAACCGAGGAGTGTGTGTGTCCTCCTGGTGCCTGAGTACGCTCATGGCTTTGATCTGCACCGAAAAGGCTCAGAAAGGGAGCCTGTTCACCCTGCAGATTTCCCTGCAGAATTTCTTTTTCTTTTCTATTAGGAAAATACAGTTATTTGACTATAGGGTCACTCTCAGCTAATTTGGATTTTTCCAGACTTCTAGAGTTAAATTTTTTTTTTCATTTTGGGTGTTTTTTTTTGTGTGTGTGCTTTCAAATGGAAAAGGCAAGGTCACTCCCATCTATCATCAGTGGAAACCTGCATTGTTGATTTTCTTTCCCCTAGACATCCTGGAGGAACTACAAAAGAAGATGCTGACGTTAATCGGTGCAGGAGGTCCCAGAGCTCCAGGGTATGAAGAAATGATTATTTTAATGACTACATTCATTTCTCTGAAATGCAAACAAAGGGGACCCCAGTGTTGTTTCTTCCTTAGGGGAGACTCGGGTCTCTGGCCTCGCAGCTCTTCTCAGTGGTCTCCAGGTACTGTGGTCACCCCTCTTTTTTGAGGTCATGCTCTGGGGAACTCTTCACAACTTACACTCGCTGGAGCTACTTGTCCTCTTAAATCCCTGAATTCCTTGCTGCTGGGGGAGCCTGTCCCCGAGGCTAAGCTGGCGAGGCACTCACAGGGCGCTCAGCTCTGGCCATCACACGGGACAGGCTCCCTGCGTCTTAGGGAAAGTCTCCGGGAACCCGTGTGGAAAGCCACTCGAGGTGTCAACCCGCCTCATGATGAATGGCTGATGTTTAAATCATTACACTAAGCTATACATGGGCATTAATCTCCCTCAAAACACTCGTCCTCACTTTGAGCATGCTTGTCCCATCATTCTGGCTGCTTTCTGAAGCAGCTCTGGAAGTCCTCTTTCATGAGTGTCTATAGAAGGGGGAGGAGAGAGAGAGAGAGAGAGAGATTAATCAAGCTTTCTGAGCACATCTTTGCAAACCTTAGTGTAACCTGCCCAATGCTAGTTTGATTCATGTACCCAAACCCAGTAGTTGAAGATTGTATGTCCCAATTTAACTCCTTTATTTCCTTCTTTGCTTTTTTCCTCTTTTCTTCCCCCCCTTCATCCCGTTCTTTGTTCTCTCTTTTCCCTTCCATCTTTCTTTTCCTTGTTTTTCCTTATATTTTCATGTGTTGCAAGTCTACAAAGATTCCTTTCATCTGTAAACCAGTATGAGTTGAAAATATGCAGTGTGTTTCTAAGTATGTGCTTATCAGTTCAATTTGGCAATGGCCCCTGGCTTCTAATCCATCCTGCTACTAGCCAGGTGCTCTTTGCTTATTTGTTAAAGTGTGCAAGCTTTATTAGATACAGATGATCCTGCAGGTGAAGTGGGTATGAAACATTTCACTTCTATAAAAAGCTGTGCAGTGTCTATTGAGCAATTACCAAGTTCTGTGTAGATATGACATGAAGGAATTGGTTTCAACTTGATTTTAATCTCACCAGTTTCTCTGCTGGCTTTCCTTATCGCAGCACAGAAAGAACACAGAGTCACCTGACCGGAAATGTGGCTGCATGAGAGAGAGAGAGAGAGAGAGAGAGAGAGAGAGAGAGAGAGAGAGACAGAGAGACAGAGAGAGACACACAGAGAGAGAGACAGAGAGAAATAGAGAGGACTAAAGTGGGGCATAAATAGTCATTTTATAGAGTCATATTTTATAATGTTTTAAAGAAAATCAAAATTGCTTTAGGAAGCAGTTAATGAAGGCTGAGGAGAACTCTGAGTTCATAGCCAAACAGAGCTACATAGTGTTAGAAGACAGCCTGAATTATATAGCAAGACCCTATCTCAAAAAAACCTGAAAACAACAGTAACACCCTCAATAAACAAGACTCCAAAAACTAAAAACCAGTGAACAGTTAATGATGTCTCTGATATTCTTTTTTTTAAAAAAATATACCTTTGCTGAGTTATAAGAAGTAACTGAGAGTTCTCTGAGACTAATGAGTATCTGGGGATAATTAATCTGTAATTAATCATTTACCCTAAAATAGCAAGAGACACAAGAGGGAAGCAAAAGTTGAGGGCCAGCTCTGCACTAGGCATGTGCTAGCCTGCTTTCATGTCAAGTTTGATGCTAAAGAGAGAAGGCAGAAGCACTTTCAAAACCATAACTGTCAAAGGAAGCTGGAAATTGACAGTGACAATGTAGTTTCTACTATAGAGGAAATATGCAATAACTAGACACTGTGACTGATGATTATGAGTCTGCTGCACACATTCTGGGCTCAGGGACCCTCTGGGCTTTGTCACCTGACCCAGGATGCCAGATTCTTAGTGGGTCTTGTGCTCCAGTGAGCAAAGTCAAATACCAAGGGTAAAATAAATAACCAGATCCTTCATGATCTGAAAATCATTTACCCGTCTAGATGTAGATCCTTAAGTCTACAGTGTCAGTGAATCAAAATTCTTAAACACGGAACTCAGATCATCTGCATTTTAAACTTGTTCTCTGGAGGCTCTGGATACTCATTAGAATGTGAAGATTTTAGTTTTGGGGCGATTCTAAGGGAAAGGAACGGAAGGGAGGGAAAGGGAAGGGATGCTATTATATTTCAGTAACCCTTAGTGCGCCTTTGCAAATGATCTGTATTAGTTAGCACTACCGGCCAGGTAAGTTCAGAGCACGTTCAGTGGCAATAAATTTATTTTTGATCCACTGAAACTTTTTTTTGCAGTCGAAAGTCTGATTTCATGGTTTAAGCCATTACAGTTATGCGACAAACACACTCAATGCGTATCAAATCCTGGGACCTGAAGGTTGTACGTCCCAACGTAGCTTCTTTATGTCCTTTTCTTTTTTATTCCTTTTTCCCCTGCTCCACTCCGTCATCTTAGTTTTTGCTAACCCTGCTTTTTCATCCTGTCCTGCTCTTCCTTACAGCGCAGTGTTTCCATGTGGCCAGCAGAGGGCACTGTGCTGCAACAAGTCTGGACGTGGAACATCTAAAAGATAAATTGCTGATTAAATTCTAGGAAGACAGGCTGAAACGAGCCCATAAATGTTGTTACATACGTGAATGCTTACTGCATTTAATTATGGTGATTTACACGGACTTCTCATGGTCACATGGCTCATAAAACAAGCTTCATTTTAATAGCCGTACTTAGCGATGTCCCTTTCCTTTACGAGGATTTAATTCTCTTTTCAAACACTGAACTCCTGAACTCCTTTCCTCTTTTTAAATAAGATGTACTCAATGTAGGGTCTCATTGGATTTGGGATTTTCCCCGAAACTCCCGTTTTATTGGACTGTTCTACTGGGTAATTGTTTAGTTGAACTTGGGTAAACACGTGTTTTACCAGGAAAATTAGGTGGATAAACAAAATGTTCAAAAAAAGATGGAGCCAGTTAGCACTTTTTAGCAGAGACATAACACACAGAAACGTCTTCACGAATGGATGGGCTTTTCCTTAGAGATTTGATCCCAAATTAGAGTTCCTGGAATTTACAAGGGACAAAAGAGGCAGCTTTCCTAACTGAAACAAAACCACATTTGTTTGGGGAGCAGAGCAGATGGAGAGAGGAACCTCCACTACCTGCCCAGGATGACTGAGTCAGCCCTGCATCGGGCGGGCATTTGTAAGAGCAAAATTTTATCCTCACCTCATCGGGTCTCTTTTGAAGAAGGTGGGTGGCTGGACAAGGATTTCCAGAGCTGTGGGTAATTTTCTGGGAACTAGGTCAAAGCACACAGGTGCCCAACATTTTTATGCTGTGAAGCTTTTTGCAGTGCACGCTGTGGACATTGATGTATTGAACGGACCAAAAGTTCAACAATTGTTCTGGTTTTAAGTTTATCAATAAAGTATTCTTTTGTAGAACTTAGATTACAATTACAATTTTTTATGGAGTATAAGTGACAAAATCTTATTTTTGTGGTGTACAACCTCATGTTTTGTGATATCTATGCCTTGTGAAATGCTGGTTGCATCAAGCTAATCTGACATGTCTATCACCTCACACACAACAACTCTCAATTTCCTTTACTTTCCACACATATTATGATAGCACAAACAAACAAACAAAAACCCTCTTAACCAAGAAAATAAATGTGCTCCCAGAGACAGAATAAAAGAGTTGAGTGAACATCGCTCTAGATACTTGATATGACCACACACAAGCTAGCAATACCATGTATTGTGTTTTATAACCTTCTGTTTCACTTGATGGAGTGGAAACCTTTATAAACTAATGATGACATCATGTCCTCTTCATGATGTCACCTCTCCGCACCCTCCCTTGTATCTCTTTCTTCTGGTAATAGTCTCTCTTCTTCTGTTGTGTCGTCTGTTTTAGATTCTGCACACTGGGGATCAGCGTTGTTTTAAGGAGCACATAACATCCCATAATTTTCCCCTATTTCTTGTTTTTGGCCAACCAAAAACAGATTCCTGTTTTGAGTGTCATCTCTGACCTGACTTCACTTCCTGTCTTCTGCTTCTTCTCTACAGTTCAGGCCTTAATTAACTGATGGTTTATATTAATACGATTCAAGGTGTGGTTCGGTTAACACAGAATCAAAAGATGTGTTTGTTTCTTTTTGAAAAGCTCCCTAACATAACCAAAACATGAGATGTGCACTAATATCTTCCTTCATCACTTTTTACCCCGACTTTCCTAATTTTTGTTCAGTTTGAATTCTGACAAGCTGCAGAAACTTAAAAATCGTGAGAATGAATCCCACATCTAAAGCTAAGAATTTCTTGCCTCCCTCAATGATGCAGTGACATTATATAGGTCTGTCACTTCACACTTTGAGCTCATGTGCATCCTGGATTTTTCAGAGTTGCCTGGGGAGTGGTAATAGGGTGTCTTCTAGGAAAAGAGGGGTCGCATTCCAGGACACTATCTGTTATCCCACTCATTTTGCTCCTGGCCTTCTCTAGATTTCTATCTGCTTTGTCTCCAAGGCCCTTTCTATTTATTGTTACAGTATCTGTCATCACTGACAACCTCCTTGTTTCTCGGTCTGACATAGCTACTCGGGTTCTTGGGAGATTAATTTAGCATGAAGTTGGGATGTTAAGATGCAATTAGACAGGTAGAAATTAGTAAGTGTTAATGAACCAAGACTTTTGTCTCTATTCATGGAGGGGACTTTCAGGGGAAAAAAATAGTCAAATGATATGGCCTACACTGTGTGTAACGAATAATTTTTGGAGTTATTTGTAGATTGCTGCCTTAGACCATGTGATTTAGCCTGGCCTACGCCAGGGCAGAGAGAGAGAGAGAGAGAGACAGAGAGAGAGAGAGAGACAGAGAGACAGAGAGAGAGACAGAGAGACAGAGAGAGAGACAGAGAGAGACAGAGAGAGAGACAGAGAGAGAGAAT